AGAATCTACCATGCGGGGCATTCTGGTTAGATCAGGATCATGATGGGATGCTAGATCTTATAGAGATCAATTCAGCTCGTCAGGACTCTTTCAATTGGAGTTCTAATTGAAAGAAGTGGCTCATGACTATTGATCAACCCCTTGCAGGTTCTGGAAATTTTAAAATCTTGGTGTCTTTTACATGTATGATTGAATTTTAAACTATGGTTTTGTTTGTTGTAGAACAATCAGTATAAACCCAAAATAACAGAACAAAAAACCAACGAATATATTTTATATAAATATAATTGAATCAATACAACAGTAATATAGATTGTAGAATACTGACTTGAATTGTAGATAGAGTCCTGCAGATTTGCAGTGTCCTTTAGACAGTATTTCTCCTCTACCCTTGTGCTTGTAGTTCGATAGAAGTCTGTTCACCAGGATTAAACTATCTTAAATCTAAGCCTAAGCACAGTGGCGTTGATTTCTGGCGAACAGTAGTATGAATTCTCTCATGAAGTGTTAAAATGTGAGAATGATAATGCAGTTTAAAAAAGGTGTTTTTTCTGGTTTGATCGTATTGTCAATATATAGAGGTCTAACACCTCTTCATCCAACAGTTATGTTAAGGGTTTAGGTTTTGGTTTTATCTGAAAAAACCGAATTTTCAATTAATAAAAGTAAATTATTAATTAAATCAACATAGCCCCAAGGCCCAAGGCCCATCTTTTGACAATTAATTATATATATATATATTTATATATAATCCAAGCTCAAACCATTTTGAGGCCCAAGTTTGCCTCCACTAGGCCCATACTATATTTAGTATTTCTTATGTGTTGGTGCATATAAACCATGGAAGGAAACTACTCTCTTCCAATGTGGGACTAAATGCAAGTGTCTTTTCCTATACAAACTCTAACAATACCCCACATTTGTATAGGAAAATTATAATGTGCGTATTTGAGAGAAAACTTAGATATGACACACATCAGGAAAGGTGTCTTTTGGACTTGAACCTACCATAGTGAATACTTATCGGATTAACTAGGTGACGCAGTGAATATAAAATCTTGAACTGTTCACCTATTGTTGTAAACCGAGACAACAAGTATCACATATGTTACATCTTAACATACAACTTATTCATACGTTTGTGTTTATTTTGGTCCTGAACAAATCCTGGATTCATAGGAGTTTTAGAGAATTTAGTCATCTCATTCTCATAAATGCGACCCCACATTTGCTCTATTCCTCTTGATTTCAAGAAATCAACATCATTAAACTTTCGTACCCTAATAGACTTCTTGTAGACAACGCACTTTTTTCCATCATAGGAATGAGATCCAAGTGTGTTAGCTCTTTTGAATTATGCCTAACCAGTTTGCCTATTGAACCTAGACCATGGGATCTCCAATCAGCTAGGTTAGGTTTCCGTTAGGCCGATTCATTTATTGAATTGGCTTCAATCCCATTCCCCTCGATGTTAATTTGATTTGCTCTCTTGACAAGCTTTTTGTAAGCGGATCCGCAAGATTTTGTCTTAACTTTATATAGTCAATAGAAATTATTCCATTTGAGAGCAACTGCTTGATTGTATTACGCCTTCGTCTAATATGTCTAGACTTTCCATTGTATACATTATTTTTGGCTCTTGCTTGAGCAGCCATACAATCACAATGTATACAAACAGCCGTCACAGGCTTAGGCCAAATAGGAATATCCTCCAAAAATTTCTTAGCCACTCGGCTTCTTCACCAGCTTTATCTAAAGCTACAAATTCCGATTCCATTATTGATCGGGCTATGCAAATTTGTTTACTAGATTTCCAAGATATGGATGCTCCTCCTAGTGTAAAAACATATCCACTAGTAGAATTTGTTTCTAAATCATTAGAAATCCAATTGGCATCACTATATCCTTCTAGTACTGGAGGATATTTGGTATAGTGTAATGTAATCCATACTCCAAAGTGTAATTCAAATATCTCAAAACTCTAATCAATGCTTCCCAATGATCATGTCCTAGATTACTTGTATACCTACTAAGTCTACTCATAGAATAGGCTACATCAGGTCTTGTACAATTCATAATGTACATAAGACTTCCTATGATTTGTGAATATTTCTTTTGTGAAATAGATTCACCTTCATTCTTCTTTAATTTTCAACTTGCATTACAAGGTGTTACAACATGATTACTTCCAAAATGACCAAACTTTCTAAGAACAGTTTCTACATAATGGGACTGTGTTAATATATAACCATCTGAATTTCTTTTAACTCTAATTCCAAGAATTACATCAGCAAGACCTAAGTCTTTCATGTCAAAACTGGAGTTTAACATTTTCTTGGTAGAGTTAATTATGTCCTTGTTAGTCCTAATATAGCCGCGGGGATGTACCCTTTAAATATCGTATAGCCGAACAGCTATACTCTGTAAATAGAATATTTTAAACGTATAGCCGGTCGGCTATACCCTTAAAATATATACGAATGGTTAAAGTGTATAGCCGTGCGACGATACTCTATAAATAGAATATTTTAAATGTACAGCCGGCTATATATACACGAATATTTACAGCGTATAGCCGAACGGCTATACCCTATAAATAGAATATTTTAACGGTATAGCCGCTCGGCGGTACTCTATAAATAGAATATTTTAAAGGTATAGCTGCACGGCTGTACTGTATAAAAGCGGCTATACCGTTTTATGAATATTTAAACAGTATAGCCGGACGACGATACTCTATAAATATATACGAATTGTTTGAGAAATATTACCCTTCCAGACTAGTTTTCTTCCGTTCTGTTTTTTCCTTTCTCTTGTTTACAAAACGTTTGCTGGCACTTGTAAATCTACACATTCCAGACTAGTTGTCTTAATCATCAATGACAATTTCAGCTTTCTCTCTCTCTCTCTCTCTCTCTCTCTATAGATGTAATTTTAGAACAAAAATTTTGGGAAAGAAAAATTATATTTAGAAAAACAATATAAGTACAGAAAAATCATATGCTTTTGGTTTTGGATCCATACATGAAGCAACAACTCTAGTGAAAAGAGAAATTTTTTGGGAAAGCAGATTAAGATATATGAGTATGGATATCTGTTACACCACAAGTAATATTCAGCAAGTAATGTAGGAACACTTACAGATCAAATATGGCTTTAAATATTGGCCAAAGTATTTGGATTGCATCTGCCACAACTTCTGCATGATTAACATATCTGGAATTGATATTTACTAGCATGTTTAGAACATCTCAACAAAATAAAAAGAAATTGATCATACCCGTCTGAAGCAGTTGAGGATGTTCAGGTAGTTTTAGAAGCCTATCCATAACTACTATAAAGGACAACAGTAAAATTCGAATGGATGTAGAAAAGAAATTTGGACAACATCATATCTTGGGCATTACTTCAGCTGCGACTGCTGAACATAACTTGATATAGCCCGGATGCCCCACGGCTAAATAGAATATTTTAAAAGTATAGCGGTGTGGTTAGAATCTATAAAATTGGGATATACCAAATCATGATCTCACTGCAAAACAAGGTTGTTCCCAATAATCAATGAGTGTGAGACAACCACAAGAACAGATAGATAAACTTTCCTACCAAAGTAGTTAACACATCCACCAAGATGAAAACATGATAAAATATTATCCAGCAAGATAAAAAATTTGTGCTAAATGCAGAATCTTGAACAAGGTTTAATAATTGATACAGAATGAGTCCAAGGGAGAAACTGACAGTAAGTTAAAGTAAAAGTATTTGCTAATTTAAGTTTCAGGTTCTGTTTTCAACTAAAATTGATTTTTACATCAACTCAGCAGTAGAATTACTCGAGTCAGGTAGAAACATAAAGCTCACAACCATAAAATGTAAAGGAAAGAAATTAAATAAGTGAGGAATATGGGTATTGCCAAACTCACATTGATCTTCTGTATATATTCTTCACGGTACTGAAGCTTATGACCATGATATCTATCCACGAACAAGAACCTCCGTATGCCGTACTTTCTGAGGTTGTAAGAAATACAAACAAGAGAAATGTCAGCCACAAGAGAATATTTTAACTGTATAGCCGAGTGGCTATACTATTTAAATAAAATATTTTACGCGTATCGCCGGACGGCTATACTCGTTAGCGGTATAGCCGTGCGGCTATACTCGTTAAATAGAAAGTAGGCATGACTCACACATCTTTCTTATATCAGACAGCTTCTTGTTGTTGTGGCAATAAGCCTAGTGACATATTCTTTTAACTTCGTCATTTCCAAAAGGACAATGATAAGATGAGAAAGTTTTGAATAAAACAGCATTGCCAGAGCAAAACATTCATATGGCTCACACCTGAATAAAATAAAATGAAATAAGAGGCATAACAACAAGATATTGATCATACATACCTAAAGATATACCCAAATCGATCAATACGAACTGTTAAATCACGGTAGGCTTGCTATTTAATGTGTCTAGGCCTTGGCTGACAACTTCGCGGTTGTTAACGACATTAATTCAGTATCATCACCCACATAAGAATTTATATGTACACTTTCTTCTGGAAATGAATCACACACCTGTAAAGGAGTAACAAAGGGCAAGCACAAGGCCTCCAAAGCCCTCTTTGCATGGTCATGTGTGTTGATGCTCTTTTTGGGAGAATTAACTTCTGGATTGGGAACTTGTTAGATTTTTGTGTAATCATGATCGAACAATCCAGGTTCAGTGGGAGCCATAGGGCATTCCCTAGTCCCCCAAGTTGGCAAGCTAGGAGTTGTGCTAACATTTGGTAGCTGTGTGAGATCTAGGACTATTTGGTATCTAGGTACCGAAGTGTTTAGCAAGGGAGCTAGGTCTGGGCTCTATGGAGCTGGGCCCTTTTTTTTTTTTTTTTTTTTTTTTTTTTTTTGGTTTGGGGTTTTTTTTTTTTTTTTTTTTTTTTTTTTTTTGGGCCTTGGGCCTTTGAAATGTAGTGCTTCAGCAAAGGAGCAGCTCGTGGGCCTCCAGGTGTTAGAGCGGGTCGTGACCATGCCTTGATTTCGGGAGGCAAAGGGCTGGGCCCTTTTTGTTTCGGCAGAGTAGCTGGTCTGCTTTTGGGCCTAGGCAAGGCCTTAGGGTCTAGAATTTAGAGAGGCATTCAGCACCATGGGCCTTTAGATTAATTTGAAAGGACCTGGGCTAGGTCACATGGGGCTGTCCTGGTCGTGGCCTTAGGTGGGTTCCGAAATTATGTGAGTTGGGTCCTTTGTCGTGGGCTGGGCCTTTGTTACATGAAGCTAGGGTTTGGCACATGAAGCCAGGGTTTGGAAGAGGTGTGCATGCCTCACAGACATCAGACCTTCTGCCGTTCAGAGGTATTCGGCAAGGAGCATTTAGAAGGTGAGGAGGCTTTGTAGCTTCGGTATGGGGTGATCTTCTGAATTTCCAGTTCTCAACGAGACCCTTGCCGTTCGGCAAGGGTCTTGCTGAAGCCGACAGACGCATGAAGTCCTCATTGTCGTTCGGCAGTTCTGCTACATTTATCGCTTGCCCAAGCCTTCACACACATATGCTGAAGGTCCTCACCTTCACCCATCATTCACTATCACCTACTTTCTAAGATGACCTCCCAAAAAAAGCATCAACAGTTTGGCACTGTTTGTGGGAACGACACAAGAAGCTTTTGTTGTTCTTCCCTTCCTCTAGTGCCCTTCGGCACCCTTTCAATCATCATCTTGTAGCTTACCATTTAGCTACATTGCCTTGCGATATGAAAGCTTTGTGTTGCCTTCTGCACCCCCGTGCCTAGTCACATTACCTTGCGACACGCAAGCTTTATGTTGCCTTCTGCACCCCCGTGCCTAGTCACATCGCCTTGCGACACGCAAGCGTTGTGTTGCCTTTTGCACCCCCGTGCTTGGCCACATTGCCTTGCGACATGCAAGCTTTGTGTCGCCTTTGGCACCCCCATGTCTAGCCACATTGCCTTGAGATATGCAAGCTTTGTGTAGCCTTCTGCACCTTCGTGCCCAGCCACAATGCCTTGCAACATGTAAGCTTTGTATTGCCTTCGGCACCCCGCCACAATTAGGCGCGAGCGATGCCTTCGGCACCTCGTCGTCATTTAGCTTGAGTGATGCCTTTTAGCATCTAATCATCATTCGAAGCAAGCAATGTCTTCGACACCTCGTCATCATGAGGCGCATGCGATGCCTTCGGCAAACCTCTCTGATATGAGCGATGCCCACGCACATCCTCACCACAAGATAAGATTTCTCTTCTTATATATAAATATTGCGTATGAGCATGTGATATTTAAATAATTCATTGCACAATCTTATTCAACAATATGGTTCATGAATATTGCATATAAATAGAAGCTGTCCAGGCCACTTTGAAGATGCTCCAATGTGGCAATTGCCAAATATTCCAAGTCACCAACAGCATCACTTTGCAGGGCTAAGGAGGCCAACCACCATTTCAATCCAATGGGAAGCCCAAATGACAACTAGCTGAAAGTCTAGAGCAATTTAAATGGCCAAGGCCTTGAAAACCAAGCCTTGCCGGAGGCTTAGCTCCAGGACCTCTATTCTTTTCGGATCAACCCTCACAGTCCAGCATCAAAGCCCAGCTCCCAGCTCCAAGCCTCTTTTACCGATGCAGGCTCAGCTCCTAGCTCCAGGCCCAGCTCCAATTCAAAGCTCAAGGCTGCCGAAATTAAAACTCACAAGATTCAGGTTGAAGTGGGTCTCTTGCCGAACGATACCTCTCGTCCAAAGGCAATAGTAGAAGCCCACGACAACCACGTGACCAGCCTTCCTACCACCCACTTGCCGATGCTAGGATGAGGCCAAGGATGTGCTCACGCACCAAACTCTCCTCGGATCCGTTGCGAACCTTCAAGAGCTCAGCTCCCAATGAATTCGGGTTATGCAGAAAATACAAATGCCATCACCCAGATGTTGCCGACCCTAGCTTCAAAAATCTGGATCAAAAGGTTGCTTGAGGCGGTGCTCTAGACAACCCCTCCCATGCCGAACCTCTCAGGACCCAGACCCTGCCAAAAATTCAGCACATAAAATAAACATACGACACTCACAGAGGCCTTGTTGAACGGCAAGACCCGTACAATAACAAATGGGGGACTCACGAAAATAGCCAAAACTAAACCTACCGAACGGTAGGTGCTGGGCAATCGAATGAAGGGCCATGAAAATCACGGTTCCAAATCAAAAAATTGCTGAAGACTCTTCAGCCAGACCTCAAAAACCTCCTCAAAATCAGTTGGCTCAAGATCACGCCCCAAACGAAATTTCTGCAAGAGTGGAAGCTTGCCGAATGCATAGGTTTGCCTCTCAATTTCCTCAGCCCCAAATTCGAGCCCAGCACATAAAATAAACATACTGGACTTACCAAAAGAGCTAAAGAATCTTGCCAAACCACCCTCTCGGACCAACCGTGCCTGGAGGCAATGTTCGTGCTGAAAGTATATGCGCAACAACAACACAAGTTATCATATCAAAAACAAAAGAAAAACCAGTCGGCAAGGCCCATGAAAATGTTTGGAAGACTTACAAAAGCTGCCCTTTTACCGAACTCACAAATGGCCCAGCTCCTTTTGTTAAAAGTCTGTGGACAACTTGACTTACCGAACGGCGCAAACCAGGGAAGCACGAAACCTCACCCCTCCACCCAAGACCAAATTTCAAGAGGACCCGGATCCTCCTTCAGCTCCAAAAACCTTGTCTTGGCTTCACTCTTCTCGAACAGCAAGCAACGTGCAGAAGCAAATGAAGACTCCCCCTGCCAAGTTGGCCTTGCTCCACCCCTTGCCGATTAGCACCCCTGACTGAACTTGGAAAAATGATCACTGCAACACGGAGGTCTCCCAATGCTCGAACAGTCCTCGTCGCATGGAGAACCCAGCTCCAAGTCACAACCAGCCCTCCCGAGTTTGCACAGGACCCAGCCATAAGCCAAAACAGTGGTTACTCAAGTACCTAGCCTAGGCCCGACACCAAGCCACAAAGAGGCCATTCCTTGTACCCTTGCCGAACGACAAGGGTCTTGCTGAAGCCGACAGACACACGAAGTCCTCCTTGCCGATCGGCAGTTCTGCTAGAAAATAGACATGCCTCAAAAAGTTTTTAGGCAACCCTTGCCATTCGGCAAGGTCTCATTGAGAACAGAAAATTCACAAGATCACCCCCTACCGAAGCTACAAAGCCTCCTCACCGAATGCTCCTTGCCGAATACCTCCTTGCTATTCCAAATGGCAGAAGGTCTGATGTCTGTGAGGCATGCACACCTCTTCCAAACCCTAGCTTCATGTAACAAAAGCCCAGCCCACGACAAAGGACCCAACTCACATAATTTCTGAACCCATCTAAGGCCGCGACCAGCCCAGCCCCACGTGACCTAGCCCAGGTCTTTTCGAATTAATCCAAAGGCCCATGGTGCTGAATGCCTCTCTAAATTCTAGACCCTAAGGCCTTGCCTAGGCCCAAAAGCAAACCAGCTACTCTGCCGAAACAAAAAGGGCCCAGCCCCTTGCCTCATGAAATCAAGGCATGGTTATGACCTGCTCTAACACCTGGAGGCCCACGAGCTGCTCCTTTGCTGAAGCACTACATTTCAAAGGCCCAAGGCCCCAAAACAAAACTAAACAAAACTAAACAAAAAAGAAAAAAGAAAAAAAAAGGGCCCAGCTTCATAGAGCCCAGACCCGGCTCCCTTGCCAAACACTTCGGTACCCAGCTACCAAATAGTCCTAGAAGCTCACACAGCTACCAAATGTTAGCGCAACTCCTAGCTTGCCAACTTGGGGGACTAGGGAATGCCCTATGGCTCCCACTGAACTTGGATTACTCGGTCATGATTACACAAAAATCTAACAAGTTCCCAACCCAAAAGTTACTTATTGACCGCGAACTTGCGGGACTACCGTTTACACTATAATCAACCGAGCATATCCAGCCTCAAAGCGACTAGCTCCAAAGGCACACATGCCTTCTCCCCTGCCGAAGGAAGACACTCTTCCAAGGTGCCAGACACTTTCCGAAGCTCCCGACTGCCGAAGCTCACAAACTGCTTATCTCCATGACACGTGTCACTACCGCAGCGACTTGCAAGAGTCCCACATCAGAATTCTATGAAAACCTCCCACTTTCACCTCCCTATAAATAGGGAATAGTATCCATGAGAAATGGGGACTTCTCTCTACTTAGAAGAGGATCCGGGTCTTAGAGCTAGACCCTTGGGCCTTGGACTCTCTCTTTTAGATCCTTGGGCCTTGGACTCTCTCATTAGGATCCGGGTCATAATGAGAACATCATTCTCCGTGGATGTAGCTCATTCATCAAGGGTGAATCACGTATATCTTGTCTTTTTTACATTTATCGCTTGCCCAAGTCTTCACACACATATGCTGAAGGTCCTCACCTTCACCCATCATTCATTATTACCTACTTTCTAAGTTGACCTCCCAAAAAGAGCATCAACAAGGTGGAAGTTCAGTAATGACCTTGCTGCAGAAGAGAGTTCAGTAGATGTTCATATCATCAACAACATGGTACTAGATTGATCACGCAACGTCAGAAGATGCAGAAGATATAGTTTACCTTAAGGCTTCAACTAGATGTAACGAGTCCTCAGCTGAACCATCCATGACATATGAAGTACTAAAAATACATTACCTATCTGAAGTGCTTGAGGATGTTAAGGTAGTTTTACAAGCCTATCCATAACCTGTTCACATTAAAAATAAAAATAAAAACTCCAAAAAAGTGAGTATTATTAGATCATACCTTGGGAATTACTTCATTCTCAACTACATATATCTTCTTTGAAAAGGATCACTCCTCCAAAGAAGATATATAAATCCTTGAATATTTCAGACAGTGCTTTTCAAGCCTGAACATTACTAGTATTAAAGAACTGGCTCAAGCTTTGGCCTCTCATTCTCCTTATGAAGTTCCAATATCTTCCATTAAGATCAGACATCTACATTGCCAGATGCTAGGTTAGTTCTAAGTTTTTACTATTGATCTACCCCTTGCAGGTATACCATTTAAATAAAATATTTTATTTATTTAAATGGTATGGCCAGACGGATATAAATAGAATATTTTAAACGTATGGCCGGACGGCTATACCCTATAAACAGAATATTTTAAACATATGGCCGTACAGCTATACTCTATAAATAGAATATTTTAACACTATAGCCGAACGGCTGTACGCTTGAAGTAGAAAATTTTAAGGTATAGCCGCCGGGCTGTGCTATATAAATAGAATATTTTAACAGTATAGCCGGGCGGCTATACTATATAATACTTTAACAGTATAGACATTTTTTAAGTTTAGCCGATCGGCTATACTCTATAACAGTATAGCCGCTCGGCTATACGTGTTGAATATAAATTTTTAAAGTATATCCATTCGGCTATACCCTTAAAGTATATGAATATTTTAAAAGTATAGCCGCACGGCGGTACTATTTAAATTAGAAAGTCAAGCCTCTCACATCTTTCTTGTGGTTGTGACGGATTAGTGCAATAGAAGAATGTCCAAATGGAATGCAATGTGTTATTTCATTGCTTCTTCCATTAAGTTGAAGTTCAGTTGTAGGACAATTATTAACCATTTTCCAGAAACAAATCTGTATTCTATAACAAGCTAAACTATTATTTATCATGAGAACAACAATGGTAACAAGTCTGTGGTAGTACGTATATTACATTGAGAATACAACATGAGCAAAAACACTTACTAGGGAAACAAGTGACTCAAGTGTTTCAGCCAATTTATAAACAGATATGGCGCAAACAAGAAAATGTGTATGCGTTGTGGAGGTACAGTGCATCAAGGATCAAGCACAAAAGGGTCTTGATTGAATGATGAATTTCAAACTCTCTCACAGATAGATATACAGTAAACATAAATAATGTGGACACAAAACAAAAACAAATAATGTGTGGAAAGGTTGTGCTTCAGCCGGCCAGATTTCAATTAGGCTCAAACGTAGGTTTATCTTACAAAAAAGCTTTACACGGTCGAATTCTGATTAGAAACATAACAACTGTGACTTCCAAGATCGATTGCATTTATATACGTGCTAAAACAAGTTGATATGTTGAATTGGAATGCCATGCTCAGCAAGCTTACATTTGTTTGAAGAAGTAAATCATAATTTAGATGAACGGCTAGATAGAGCATGACTAATGAGCTCCCTCCTCAAGATCTTTCCTGCTGGAGATTTTGGAATGGAGTTGATAAATGATACGCGTCGAATCTTCTTGTAGGGTGCAACCTGCAATAACAAACCAACTTCAATATGATGGCCTGTAACATACAACTTCAAGAGAACTGGAAGTATGGATGTTAATTATGAAAAGAATCAATTGGATTTTTTTACAAGTATTCAGAAGCATACTTGTTTTGCAACAAAATCCATAACTTCAGCCTCAGTGATATTGCTTCCAGGCTTTCTAAATACATAGGCCATGGGAATCTGCCCTGCTTCTTCATCAGGATACCTGCTTCAGAAACGCCAAGAGGCAGAAATCAGAACTAGTATACATTGAGGAGGTAAACAGATACATGAAATATACTGGAACATTCTTTCAGAAACTATGATCTTCTACCATGTAACCACGACACTAACTATGCCAGAAAGTGGAGGCAAAAGACCAAATTTCTCATAAAGGCAAACTTATCGGCAAAATATCCGTTAAAATTTTCTTCAGCGATCTCATAAGTCCTTGAATTTCTTTTGTTTTTTGTTTTTCTATGGACCAGTTTCTTTTCCCAGCTAAATACTTCTAAAAAAATTCAAAAGTGACAAATAAGAGATTAAAGTCGTCAATTGATAGATTGATGCCATAAGAGCATGGAAAGAAACTAGCTTTTCACAAGCAAAGAATGTCGTAGTACTAGATACATACGGAATCACAGCGGCATCGGCAATGTCGGGATGGGATTGAAGTATAGGTTCCAACTCAGCTGGGGGTACCTGCAATTTGTTCCAGACATGGAGAGACCAAACAACACATTACACAAATGGACTGATCAAATACTCATGCAACCATCTTTGTTACGAGTTTAACTCTCAAAGGATCTCTCTTGCAATCACCTGATAGGCCTTGTACTTGATCAATTCCTTTAACCTGTCAACGATGTAGAGGAACCCCTCATCATCAAAGAAACAAAGATCACCCGTCTTCAACCACCCGGCTGAGTCCAAGGTTTCAGCAGTTGCCTTGTCATCTCCTACATAACCTGTAAGTCAATGGTTTTACAAAGATCAATTAGATTAGGTATTGGTGTCACGACTCATGGCTAGAACTTGTTCCTATATTAACTGATATATAAGAAAAGGCACCAAAAACTTATAAATTATCTTAAGATAAACTATTTCTGCAATATAGTACACTTGTGACATGACAAAGTCTCATTACCTTTCATGACTGTTGGACCTCGCAGCCACAGCTCGCCCCTCTGGCCAGGAGGTAAGGCCTCTCCGGTTTCGGGGTCAACAATCTGGGCTTCCATATTTTCGGCTAAGCGGCCCACAGAAGCATACCGTTTTGACTCTTCAGAGTCTATCATCCTCGTACCCGCTGCCCCAGTTTCGGTCAAACCGTATCCCTGAACAAACCATAATATTAATCAAGCATTTGACAATTAGCAAGACTATAGTTTGGCATATCACACATGTGATACCATATGCACAACAGAATTAAGCAAGTAACGTAACCAGTCATCATCACTATTCTATTCCTGTTGGGATATGGCACAGAACAGAAGCAACCCACATTTTTGTATTAATTGGTCATTGACTCTTCGCTTCAAAACTGAAAAGTCATTCAAATGAATCACAAATATTGAAAAGTCTGTTCACATGTTTCAAACCCACAAAAGCAACCAACCCACATTGGCCTTCATACATTCACAACTGAAAAGTCTCCTAAATTAATCAAAACTGTACGATTAGATATGTCAACCTTAATTAATCACAAATGCCTTAAATCAACCACAGTACATACAGGTATTATTATACGGGAAAAATATGTATTTTTAAACACACATAGGGTACTTGTATTTTAATTATACGTGTATTTTATGTGTATTATTAATTATAAACGTATTATTCACTTACCAGTAATATAAGTTGAAAAAATAAATAAATTGTGGGACCAAAATATCAAAAGCCCAATGTTTTAACCGAATTAATTAGTAACTAACAATAAAATCAACCGCCTAAAATTAAACTGCCGTATGTAATTCCGACAACGGATAATTTAATTTTCTGACCTGCACAATTTCCACATTGGGAAATCTCTCGGTGAATCTCTCAGCAACCTCCTTCCCCAGAGGCGCGCCGCCACATCCGAGAAGCCGAAGCGAGCTGAGATCGTATTTCTGAGCCAGCTCGGACTTCGCCAGAGCCACGATCAACGGCGGAGACACCGGCATGTAGCTGACCTTGTACCTCTCCACGGCCCTCAGCATCGCTTCCAAATCGAACCTCTCCATCAAAACCAAGGTCTCACCCATCGCCACCGCCCGAACCAGCATGAAGAACCCGAAGACGTGGAACAGAGGCAGCGTGAACAACGAGACGACTTGCTCTTCGAGTAGGGTAGGGTCGGGTTCGCGCCGCAGCACGTGGAGCCCGGCTAGTAGGCCGATGAAGTTACGGTGAGTCAAGAGAACACCTTTGACTCGTCCGGTGGTGCCGGACGAGAAGAGAATCGCCGCCAAGTCGGTTTGGCTGACCTCGACTCCGAAGTCGGGTCGGGTGTCGGATGATCCGACCCGATTGAGCATGGACAGGAACTCGGGTGAGTCCAGGAGGATTATGGTGCGGAGCTCATCCTTAGGGAGCTTGTGAGCGGTTGCTGATGTGGCGAAAGCGATGGCGGGTCGGGTGAGTCGGACCTGGTAGGCGATCTCGGACTCGGACCCGATTGGATTAGCGGGCGAAACGACGACGCCTAAGGCGAGGAGGGAGAAATAGAGCACGGGGATGTGGAAGGAAGTAGGCGAGAGAATGAACGCCACGTGGCCTTTGGAGAGAGCGGGGGCAAAGGACTGGAGGGAGAGAGTGAGGGAGTGGACTTGGCCGATGAAGTTCTCGTACGAGACATGGCGGCCGGAAGCGGCATCGATGAGGACGGTTGTGGTGGGGGCGACCGCAGAGGATTGGAAGAGGGAGAGAGCAAAATGGGTGATGGAGAGGGGTTGGGAGAGAGGCGGAAGTGGGACCGGAGGTCGGAGAGTGTGGAAGGTCTTGGTTTGTGGACAGTAGCCGCTCTTGGGATCGATCCAACGGCTGGGATTTGTTTCCTCCGCCATGGTTGATTAGAATTGGAGCTAAGCTAGCTCTTCAGAAGCTTTATATATATATAATATAAAATATAACTGCGACTCTGTGAGTGTGGCCAAGACGTGTGGCCAAGACCTGCTCATTGTCATTGATTATAAGACGCAGACAAACAAGAACTGAAAGAGGAGAGAGTAATTTATTATTACTATACACGTGTTTGACTTGGCTTTTTCTAGCTTGGGGAAGGAAAGGAAATATGTCATTGCGGATAGATGTAGAACGGAGGAAACGTGGGTTTAATGCGGATGTTGTAAGTGAGGGATATTTTGCCTTTCTTTGCATCTGCCAAACTGGGCACCAAGCATGTGGTATTGGGAGGTTTTTACTTTAATCACCATGCTGTATATAGTGGTAAGTTGTTTGTGCAAATAATCTCGCGGGAGAATATTCGCTTCTAGATTCTTTAACTTTTGATCTTCCTTCTCTCTCTTCCTCGTTTCCTATAAAAAAGACTGGAGTAAATAGACCACACTCGAAGAGGCGGATCTATTAAGGCGCAAGTAAATGTCTGTCTTTTTACTTTTATTTATTTTTATATTACTCCATTTACTTAAGTTTACAATGTAAATAAGGAAATACCCCCCATTTGGATTCAAATAAAAATACTAGAAAATCAAATTCCCACCAAATCAAAATATGAAAATTCGGTTTTAGTGCAAAATACGATTTAAGCTAAAAATGATGGCTCATTAAGTCAATATATACTTCATACTAAAATCCCATAAATTCAAGTTTTCTTATTTGATGTATAAGGAATAAAAGCCGCCAAAAATTATCTTGAGAAAATGATTATTCCGAAAAACCATTTTCATACTTAGTCAATATTGCACCTCCGCTAAAAAATTTCTGGGTCCGCCAGTGCACACTCGGGAGTGTTGGCCAAAGACCCTCCGATGCCTAAGTTAGTTCGAGTGTTTGTAGGAAAACAATAGCTAAGCAAAGGGTACGGAGTTGTATGTATGGTGTGAACCGGGAGGCCGGAGCTGTGTGGAGAAAATATGGAGAGTGGAGAGGGGAGAGAGAGCTTCGGGTATTTTTCTCGGATTTTGGAGTAGGTTTTGATGTACCTTAAATGATAAATGAGGTCATCTATTTATAGGAGCCTCGGGGCTAGGGTTTCGTAGAGAATATGATGAGTTTATTCTCTAAGAAATTTGGACAACATCATACCTTGGGCATTACTTCAGCTGCGACTGCTGAAACATAACTTGATATAGCCTGGATGCCTCTCGGCTAAATAGAATATTTTAAAAGTATAGTGGTGCCGCCGGTGCTGTTAGACTCTATAAAATTGGGATATACAAAATTATGATCTCACTGCTGTGTTAGCTATAATAAATAATGGAAACAAGTTGTTCCCAATAATCAATGAGTGTGAGACAACCCCAAGGATAGATACATAAACTTTCCTACCAAAGTAGTTAACACATCCACCAGGATGAAAAATTTGTGCTAAATGCAGAATCTTGAACAAGGTTTGATAATTGATACAGAATGAGTCAAAGCGAGAAACTGACAGTAACTTGTAGTAAAAGTATTTGTTAATTTAAGTTTCAGGTTCTGTTTTCAACTAAAATTGATATTTACATCAACCCAACAGTAGAATTACTCGAGTCAGTTAGAAACATAAAGCTCACAATCATAAAATGAAAAGGAAAGAAATTAAATAAGGGAGCTATGGGTATTGCCAAACTCACATTGATCTGTTGTATATATTCATCACGGTACTGAAGCTTATAACCTTGACACCTATCCACGAACAAGAACCTCCGTATGTCAAACAAGACAAATGCCAGCCACGGGACAATACAGTATCGCCGCGCGGCTATACTCTATAAATAGAATATGTTAATAGTATAGCCGGGTGGCGATACCCTTTAAATAGAATATTTAAAATTTATAGCCGTTCGGCTATACTGTCTGAATATAATTTTTTACACGTATAGCCGCGCGGCTATACAATTTAAATATAATATTTTAAAAGTATAGCCGCGCGGCTATATGTTTACAGTATAGCCCCCCGGCTATACGCTTTGAATAGAAAGCAGGCATGCCTCACACATCTTTCTTATATCAGACAGCTCCTTGTAGTTGTGGCAATAAGCCTAGTGACAGATTCTTTTAACTTCGTCATTTCCATAAGGACAATGATAAGATGAGAAAGTTTTGAATAAAACAGCATTGCCAGAGCAAAACATTCATATGGCTCACACCGAACCTCCAACGACAAGGAAACAGAACACTATTGATACAAATTCTTCCTCTTATCAAATAAGGCATTAGGAAAAGTTTTGAAGACATGCTGCGATCAAAAAGACAGGTATCACAGTTGAATCACATATTTGGAATTGATATTTACTAGCATGTTTAGCACATCTAAACAAAATAAAAAGAAATAAGAGGCATAACAACAAGATATTGATCATACGTACCTAAATATATACCCAAATCGATCAATGTGAACTGTTAAATCACGAGCAGGCTTACTATTTAATGTGTCTGGGCCTTGGCTGACAACTTCCTGGTTGTTGACAGCATTAAGTCAGTATCATCACCCACGGAAGAATTTATATGTACACTTTCTTCTGGAAATGAATTGCACACCTGTAAAGGAGTAATGAGGGGCAAGCACAAGGCCTCCAAAGCCTCTTATAGCATGGTCAGGTGGAAGTTCAGTAATGACATTGCTGCAGAAGAGAGTTCAGTAGATGTTCAGATCATCAACAACATTGTTGATGCTCTTTTTGGGAGGTCAACTTAGAGAGTAGGTGGAATGGTGGTTGATGGGTGAAGGTGAGGACCTTCAGCATGTGTGTGAAGATTTGGGCAAGCGATGAGCAAGTGATAAATATAAAGAAGACAAGATATACGTGGTTCACCCTTAATGAATGGGCTACATCCACAGAAAAGTATTCTCATTATAATAATGTAGGATTACATTTGTACATGGGGTTGGGCCCAAATATAAAGACAACAAGTGAGATGTCCAGCCCAGTCCTGGGATCCAGAAGAGAGAGTCCAAGGCCCAAGGGTCTAGACCTAAGATCCTTTCCCAAGTGGAGAGTGGTCTTCTTTTATAGGTGAGGGAGAGTCTTTACTTCTTATAGTTTTTCGATGTGGGACTCCTCTTACTTTGCTTAGAGTTGTGACTTGTGGTAATGCTTCTTTGGCTAAGGTGATGACCTCTCAAAGCATGACATGTGGATGATCTAGCCAAGCTAGTTGCTCGGTCAGTTACGGTACCAACAAACATGGTACTAGATTGATCACGCAACGTCAGAAGATACAGAAGGTATAGTTTACCATCCATGCAACGAATCCTCAGCTGAACCATCCATGACAGATGAACTATAAGTATTAAAAATACATTACCTGTACTCTGAAGTACTTGAGGATGTTAAGGTAGTTTTAGAAGCCTACATAACCTGTTCACATAAAAAATAAAAATAAAAAAAAAACCCCCCAAAAAAGTGAGTATTATTAGATCATACCTTGGGAATTACTTCATTCTCAACTACCATATATCTTCTTTGAAAAGGATCACTCCTTCAAACAAGATATATTAATCCTTGAATATTTCAGACAGTGTTTTTCAAGCCTGAACATTACTAGTATTAAAGAACTGGCTCAAGCTTTGGCATCTCATTCTCCTTATGAAGTTCCAATATCTACCATTAAGATCATACATATGTTGATCAACTCCTTACAGGTGACATGACCCTTTAAATAGAATATTTAAAACGTTTAGCCGCAGCTGTACCCTAGCCGCACGGCTATACCGTATGAATATAATATTTTAAACGTTTAGCCGGTCGGCTATACGCAATAAATTGAATATTTTACAGGTGCGAAATGGAATCACAATCTGCATCGTTTGGAGTGCTCCCGTCGACAAATTCTAACACAAAATCGCTACTTTTTTCAAGGGGTATGATTTCCTTGACAGGTATCACAGTTGAATCACATAACGAAGCACACTGGATTCAATGTATAAATTTAGCAAAAACCCTCTACAGTAGCTTTAACGAATTCAGATTAACATTTTAGAAAGGGGATCAGTGAACTCACAGCGTATTTGCATGCTCGGAAAGGAGATTAAGATATATGAGTATGAAAATCTGTTACACCACAAGTAATATTCAGCAAGTAATGTAGGAACACTTACAGATAAAAAATGGCTTTAAATATTGGCGCCAGTCTTTCGATTGCTTCTGCCATAGCTTCTGCATGTTTAGCACTTCTGAACAAAATAAAAAGAAATAAGGGGCATAAGAACAAGATATTGATCATACCTGTCTGAAGTAGTTGAGGATGTTGAGGTTTAGAAGCCTATCCATAACTACTGTAAAGGACAACAGTAAAATTTGAATTGATGTAGAAAAGATAACTACTGTAAAGGACATCATACCTTGGGCATTACTTCAGCTGCAACTGCTGAAACATAACTTGATATAGCCCGGATGCCACGTGGCTAAATAGAATATTTTAAAAGTATAGCGGTGCGGTTAGACTCTATAAAATTGGGATATACACAATTATGATCTCACTGCTGTATTAGCTATAATAAATAATGGAAACAAGTTGTTCCCAATAATCAATGCATGTGAGACAACCACGACAATAGGTAGATAAACGTTCCTACCAAAGTAGTTAACACATCCACCAAGATGAAAATTTTGTGCTAAATGCAGAATCTTGAACGAGGTTTGAAAATTGATAGCTAAACCTTCACCCAAGTGCAGGATACAGAATGAGTCAAAGGGAGAAACTGACAGTAACTTGTAGTAAAAGTATTTGTTAATTTAAGTTTCAGCTTCTGTTTTCAACTAAAATTGATTTTTACATCAACTCAACTATCTGCATCAAATTTGATTTTATCACCCAACAGTAGAATTATTCGAGTCAGGTAGAAACATAAAGCTCTCACAACCATAAAATGAAAAGGAAAGAAATTAAATAAGGGAGAGCTATGGGTATTGCCAAACTCACATTGATCTTCTGTATATATTCATCACAGTACCGAAGCTTATAACAATGATACCTATCCACGAACAAGAACCTCCGTATGCCATACTTTCTGAGGTTGTAAGAAATACAAACAAGAGAAATACCAGCCACAAGAGAATATTTTAACCGTATAGCCGCTCGGCTGTACTCTATGAACAGAATATTTAAACCGTATAGCCTATAGCCGGGCGGCGATACCCTTTAAGTAGATAATTTAAAAGTACAGCTATACTATTTAAATAGAATATTTTACCAGTATAGCCGCGCGGCTGTACGCTTTGAATAGAATATTTTAACCGTATAGCCGTGCGGGCTATACGCTTTAAAACAGAAAGCAGGCATGCCTCACACATCTTTCTTATATCAGACAGCTTTTTGTGGTTGTGGCAATAAGCCTGGTGACAGATTCTTTTAACTTCGTCATTTCCAGAAGGACAATGATAAGATGAGAAAGTTTTGAATAAAACAGCAATTGCCAGAGCAAAACATTCATATGGACATTGAACCACCAACGACAAGGAAACAGAACACTATTGATACAAATTCTTCTTCTTATCAAATAAGGCAATAGGAAAAGTTTTGAAGACCAAACAAGATGCTGCGATCAAAAAGACAGGTATCACAGTTGAATCACATATCTGGAATTGATATTTACTACCATGTTTAGCACATCTGAACAAAATAAAAAGAAATAAGAGGCATAACAACAAGATATTGATCATACGTACCTAAAGATATACCTAAATCGATCAATGTGAACTGTTAAATCACGAGCAGGCTTGCTATTTAATGTGTCTAGGCCTTGGCTGCCAACTTCCTGGTTGTTGACAACAGTAATTCAGTATCATCACCCACAGAAGAATTTATATGTACACTTTCTTCTGGAAATGAATTACACACCTGTAAAGGAGTAAGTTCTCTTAGCGTGGTCAGGTGGAAGTTCAGTAATGACCTTGCTGCATAAGAGAGTTCAGTAGATGTTCAAATCATCAACAACATGGTACTAGATTGATCACGCAACGTCAGAAGATGCAGAAGATATAGTTTACCTTAAGGCTTCAACTAGATGCAACGAATCCTCCGCTGAACCATCCATGACAGATGAACTGTAAGTATTAAAAATACATTACCTGTCTGAAGTACTTGAGGAGGTTAAGGTAGTTTTAGAAGCCTATCCATAACCTGTTCACATAAATAAATAAAAAATAATAAAATAATAATAATAAAAAACACCCCCAAAAAGTAAACATACCTTGGGAATTACTTCATTCTCAACTACTATATATCTTCTTTGAAAAGGATCACTCCTTCAAAGAAGATATATTAATCCTTGAATATTTCAGACAATGCTTTTCAAGCCTGAACATTACTAGTATTAAAGAACTGGCTCAAGCATTGGCCTCTCCTTTTCCTTTTGAAGTTCCAATATCTACCATTAAGATTAGCCATCTGCATTACCAGAATGCCAGGTCAGTTCTAAGTTCTGACTACTGATCAACTCCTTGCAGGTATGACCCTTTAAATAGAATATTTAAAACGCCTAGCCGCTAGGCTGTACCCTTATAATAGAATATTTAAAACGTATAGCCGCACGGCTATACAATATGAATAGAATATTTTTAACGTTTTGCCGCCGGACTATTTTACGGTATAGCCGTGCGGCTATACTGTTCAAATAGAAATTTTTTTTTACAGTATATCCGAACGGCCAGACTATATAAATAGAATATTTTAACCATATAGCCGATCGGCTATGCTTTTTGAATAGAAAATTTTTAGAGTATAGCCGACCGGCTGTACCCTATGAATAGAATATTTTAATAGTAACGCCGGTCGGCTATACTGTAAGAATAGAATATTTTAACTCTATAGCCGCCCGGCTATACGCGTTGAATATAAATTTTTTAGGTACAGCCGCACGGCGATGCTTTATAAATAAAATATTTTAAAATTATAGCTGGGCAATTATATTTTGTAATTTTTATAGTATAGCCGTCCGGCTATACGCTTTAAATATAATATTTCAACGGTATAGCCGCTCGGCTATACTCTTACATCACAAAGCATGCCTCACACATCTTTCTTGTGGTTGTGACAGATTAGTGCAATCGAAGAATGTCCAAATGGAATGTAATGTGGTATTTCATTGCTTCTTGTTCTTCCATTAAGTTGAAGTTCAGTTGTAGGAAAATTATTAACCATTTTCCCATAAACAAATCTATATTCTATAAATAGAATATTTAAAAGTATAGCCACGGGTCGATACCTTACTATGATAAATGAGGAAATTAGTTCTCAAATCTTTTGATAGCCATTTAATTTATGTGACAAAAGGTATCATGGTAGATCCATGTATGAAAGAATCATTTCTTGGGAAAACCAGTAAATAGAAGATTGATACAAACAGCAACAAAAAGGAAGATATATATATATATATATATGTGGTTCTTCTCTTTACATGAATCCCAGGTTAACAAGCTAAACTATTAATAATCATGAGAACAATAATGGTAACAAGTCTGTGGTAGTACGTAAATTACGTTCAGAATACAACATAAGTAAAAACACTTACTAGGGAAACAAGTGACTCAAGTGTTCAGCCAATTTATAAACGGATATGGCGCAAACAAGAAAATGCGTATGCGTTGTGGAGGTACAGTGCATCAAGGATCAAGCACAAAAGGGTCTTGATTGAATGATGAATTTCAAACTCTCTCACAGATAGATATACAGTAAACATAAATAATGTGGACACAAAACAAAAACAAATAATGTGTGGAAAGGTTGTGCTTCATCCGGCCAGATTCAATTAGGCTCAAAGATAGGTTTATCTTACAAAAGGACATGAACACCTGTGACTTCCAAGATCGATTGCATTTATATACATGCTAAAGAACATGAACAAGTTGATATGTTGAATTGGAATGCAATGCTCAGCAAGCTTTCCTTTGTTTGAAGAAGTAAATCATAATTTAGATGAACGGCTAGATAGAGCATGGCTAACGAGCTCCCTCCACAAGATCTTTCCTGCAGGAGATTTCGGAATCGAGTTGATAAACGATACATGTCGAATCTTCTTGTAGGGTGCAACCTGCAATAAGAAACCAACTTCAATGTGATGGCCTGTAACATACAACTTCAAGAGAACAGGAACTTTGGAAGCATGGATGTTAATTATGAAAAGAATCAATTGGATTTTTTTACAAGTATTCAGGAGCATACTTGTTTTGCAACAAAACCCGTAACTGCAGCCTCTTTGATATTGCTTCTAGGCTTTCTAACTACATAGGCCATGGGAATCTGCCCTGCTTCTTCATCAGGATACCTGCTTCAGAAACGCCCAGAAATCAGAACTAGTATACCTCGCGGAGGTAAACAGATAAGTGAAATATACGGCAAATTCTTTCAGAAACTATGATTTTCTACCATGTAACCATGCACTAACTATGCAAGAAAGTGGAGGCAAAAGACCAGATTTCTCATAAAGGCAAACTTATCGGCAAAATATCCCTCAAAATTTTCTTCAATGATCTCATAAGTTCTTGAATTTCTTTTGTTTTTGGTTTTTCTATGGACCAGTGTCTTTTCCCAGCTAAATACTTCTAAAAAATTTCAAAAGTGACAAATAAGAGATTAAAGTCGTCAATTGATAGATTGATGCCATAGAGCATGGAAAGAAACTAGCTTTTCACAAGCAAAGAATGTCATAGTACTAGATACATATGGAATCACAGCGGCATCGGCAATGTCGGGATGGGATTGAAGTATAGGTTCCAAATCAGCTGGGGGTACCTGCAATTTGTTCCAGACATAGGGAGACCAAACAACACATTACTCAAATGGAATGATCAAATACTTATACAACCATCTTTGTTATAAGTTTAACTCTCAAAGGATCTCCCTTGCAATCACCTGATAGGCCTTGTACTTGATCAATTCCTTTAACCTGTTAACAATGTAGAGGAACCCCTCATCATCAAAGAAACAAAGATCACCCGTCTTCAACTACCCGTCTGAGTCCAAGGTCTCAGCAGTTGCCTTGTCATATCCTACATAACCTGTAAGTCAAATGGCTTTACAAAGATCAGTTAGATTAGGTAATGGTGTCCTGACTCATGTCCAGAACTTGCTCCTATATTAACCGACTTGTAAGAAAAGTCGCCGAAAACTTATAAATTATCTTAAGATAAACTATTTCTGCAATGCAGGACACTTGTGACATGACAAAGTCTCATTACCTTTCATGACTGTTGGACCTCGCAGCCACAGTTTGCACCTCTGGCCAGGAGGTAAGGCCTCCCCGGTTTCGGGGTCTACCCTACCCATGTTAAAATAAACACATCTGCTGAGAGTAAGAATCTACCCTACCATGCGGGGCATTCTAGTAAGATGAGGATCATGATATAAGGGATACTAAATCTAATAAAGATCAATTCAGCTCAGCTCGTCAGGACTCTTTCAATTGGAGTGCTTATTGAAAGAACTGGCTCATGTTTTGGCCTCTCATCCTCCTTATGAAGTTCCAATATCTACCATTAAGGTTAGACATTTGCATTGCCAGAATGCCAGGTCAGTTTTAAGTTCTGAATGTTGATCAACTCCTTGCAGGTTCTGGAAATTTTAAAATCTTGATGTCTTTTACATGTATGATTGAATTTTAAATTATGGTTCTGTTTTCTGTAAGGTTCTTTAGAACATTTTAAGGGAGTGCTTAGTGGTGATTGCTTTTGTTCCTCATAGCTTTTGATTTGTTGATAATTAAGGGTTGTAATAGTTTATTTCTTTTATGTTAGGTCCCAGGGTTCTGAGATCTTATACAGTTTGAATACAACCATTGTTGGCTTGGCAGTTAGCTCTGAAGTATCGACAGATTTACCTTGGTGTGTTGATCTTCGTAGGTTACTCTCTTTTGCCACAATATTTTTGGTTATATTTCATCTTCTCTGTATAGCTCTGCTCATAATTTTATATTTTCTGACTCCAATATGTAAGGAACTGGAGTTTTAATTATGATATAATATTTCAAACGTATGGCTGGCTGCGCAGCTATACCCTTTAAATAGAATATTTTAACAGTATAGCCGATCGGCTATACACTATAAATAGAATATTTTAACAGTATAGCCGATCGGCTATACATTATAAATAGAATATTTTAAAGTTATAGCCGTTCGGCTGTACTAGAAATAGAATATATAAAACTTATAGCCGAGCGGCTATACTCTATAAAGAAATATTACCATTCCAGACTCCTTTTTTTCCGTTCTGTTTTTTCTTTTCTCTTGTTTACAAAACGTTTGCTGGCACTTGTTAATATACACATTCCAGACTAGTTGTCTTAATCATCAATGACAATTTCAGCTTTCTTTCTCTCTCTCTCTCTCTCTCTAGATGTAATTTTAGAACAAAAATTTTCGGAAAGAAAAATTATATTTAGAAAGACAATATAAGTACAGAAAAATCATATGCTTTTGGTTTTGGATCCATACACGAAGCAACAACTCTAGTGAAAAGAGAAAAAAATTTGGGAAATCTGTTACACCACAAGTAATATTCAGCAAGTAATGTATTATGTAGGACACTTCCAGATGAAAATTCTGTGCTAAATGCAGAATCTTGAACAAGGTTTGATAATTGATTGATAGCTAAAACTTCACCCAAGTGCAAGATACAGAATGAGTCAAAGGGAGAAACTGACAGTAAATTGTAGTAAAAGTTTTTGTTAATTTAAGTTTCAGCTTCTGTTTTCAACTAAAATTGATTTTTACATCAACTCAACTAGCCAATACATACAATTACATCAACTTAACTATCTGCATCAAATTTTTATCCCCCAACAGTAGAATTACTCAGGTAGAAACATAAAGCTCACAAGCATAAAATGATAAGGAAAGAAATTAAATAAGGGAGCTATGGGTATATATTGCCAAACTCACATTGATCTTCTGTATATATTCATCACGGTACTGAAGCTTATGACCATGATACCTATCCACCAACAAGAACCTCCGTATGCCATACTTTCTGAGGTTGTAAGAAATACAAACAAGAGAAATGGCAGCCGCAAGAGAATATTTAAAGGGTATAGCCGCACGGCTGTAATCTAGGAAGAGAATATTTGAACCGTATAGCCGATAGGCTATACTATATAAATGGAATATTTTAACAGTATAGCCGTTCGGCTATACCCCTTAAGCAAAATATTTGTAGCGTATAGCCGCGCGGCTATACTGTTTAAATATTCGTATATATTTGAAAGTTATAGCCGGTCGGCTATACTCTTTAAATAGAATATTTTAAAACTTGTAGGCTTCTATTTCTCTCAGCTTCAATGGAAGATTCAGTGACAAACGAAATATACGAATTCCTAGAAGAGTAGAGTTACTATAGTCAATACTCGTTTACGCACGATCAAGTAGGCCGTAGTTCTAGAATGACTGACCTTTTGGTCAAGTTCACCGAAGACTTTGCCGAAAATTGAATGTCACAGATGCGATATTGTACCAGTGGGTGTGAAGCAACTTCCAATAACGCATGTACAATCAACATTGAGTCATCTGAACCTGAATACCAACTAAAAACAAATATATCAGAAACAGTTCAAGCGATTAAGTTCAAAATATTGTAGAAGTTTCTCGAACTGTATAAGCGTTCAACAACAATGTTGAACTTAATCTCTCGAACTGTTTCTAATTTATATATACGAATATTTAAATAGTATAGCCGAGTGACTATACTTTGTAAATGCATACGAATTGTTTAAGAATTATTTTTATATTCCAATTACGTATTTCTTCCGTTTTTGTTTTTTCATTTCTCTTGTTTGCAAAATGTGAAGTGAAAATTTAAAAATTCAAAGGTGTTATGTTTTGAATCTGTTGCTAATTGAGTTTTTCCTTTTCTTTTTTTGTCAAAAATAGATTTGACAATCCCACATCTAAAGACACCGGAAAAGTATGAATTATATATTTGCTTTTTGAAAAAAATGGATTTTCTGGACAAAAGATTTTCTCAGCCCAATAATGTATTGAGTTGTGAATTTGCTGAAGCTTCAGGGCCCAGCTTGATTGCTTGATCCTCCTATCAATGGGCTTTACCTTCCTTTTGTGCATTGGGCTACGATATAACTTGTAGGTGGCTCCATCCATACCACACCGAGTAAAATTCTATAGGCGCTCACTATAGGATGACTCATCAAATTGAATATGAGTGATAATAAGGGGTTCTGAAAACTGAAAATATATTTGGCAAAATATTTTGATTTCAGTTTTCATAAAAGTGAAATCGAGTTATCAAAATCACCCTTATTTTTCAAAACAACTTGAAAGTGTTTTTAGTTTTTAATTTTAATTTTTTTTTTTTGTTCTTTTTTCATTCACTAATTTTACATATCCGCACGTGAAATGCACTCCAGTTACCACAACACGATATTTGGGACCTCTCGACTTGGACATGGCGGCTTGATTCTTGCGTTCAGCCATGGACCTAGTCCAAGCCACATGACCTCCAAATCCAAAATTCACCCAATCTAATTCTAAAAATTCATTGGAAAATACAACGAACTCTTTATAACATGCACTTTCAGTCTATAATCTCAAATTCACAATTTAATCACAACAAATTCCATTTAGTTCCACATAAAACTGAAAAATGAAATAAGTTACCAAACAACTTTTGTTCAATTTTCACTTTTCACTTTTTTCGAAAACTGAAACTAGTTACCATACAAGTTTTTGAGTTTTATTTTATATAAAAAATAAAATTTAAAAAAAAAGTTATCAAACAAGGTAAATTAATCTAATTTACAAGTATATTGAGATTCAAACTTGGGTGTTAGAAGACGAGCTCACCACCTTACCCAACGAACTTAATCCACATATGATGGTAACTGAGGTTCATTAGTACAAGATAAGCGTTTTTATCTCCTAGATAGAAAAAAAAATTAATTTAGCACATGCTGTCAACTTGTGTTGAATTAAAATGGATGTCAATTTAGCACGGTTAAATACTCATAGGCCACATTTAGTGACTAGTATTGGATTGGAAAAGTCACTAAATTTAAGGTATATTGAAAGAGGAAATGAAGGTATGGGTGAATGACTTACCTTGCTGGGGGGATTCAGAGGAATTAGTTATAAGGTGTTGTTATCTTATCATTTTGTGGGGATTAGATGAGATAATTTTCTTCATGAGTAATTCATCTTCTACCTTCAACTTGGTAAAATAAAAAAAAATAAAAAAATCATTTCTTCCTTAAACATGCTTTAAATATAGGAAGTATGCAATCCAATCCAATACTAATCACCGAACAATAGACGGAAGACATGGAATATTTCCAATGCAGTCCGCCACATGTCATAAAAAGAAATGCAGTAAGTTAGATAATAATTTCACATGTTCTATGTTTATTGGATGGTACACCAGACATGTGGTGTACCTGTAACATTTAAAAATTTCTCGACCATACGGTGCATTTGGATAGAGCAATTTGCATTATGACATAAATGTGGCACCTGCCGATATTCAATTCCTTGCTGATAAACGCAAATGAGTTTGTGCCCTCTCCGCGAAACCATTGACCATTTTGCGTTTTGGTTCATACTTCTAATCGTCTGGTCGCATTGGGCATAATTAGTTGCGATTCTGTGGAGCATGAGGTGAGCAAAAAGCAAAGCTTGGGTTTCTGGGGATAATGCTCGTTTATTGGTCTCAGTTATACTCATATTCCTAGTAGGTCTCTTTCCACTAATTTACGTGGTTGGGTCCAAAATGGTATCCCCATTGCATTCACATGAGAAAAGTTCCTTGGTCCCCCTCCCTCAAACTTCAAATCATCGATGGCTATTAGACAAGTTATATATCCATAATCATGCCCCTTAATTTTTGTGGATTATTCCAACTTAACGTGATTCTCAAGTTCAAAATTATTAAGTTTTTCCTTTAAAAAACATTTGACTGCCTTGAAGTGGAAGGATGAAGCCCAAACTCAACTTTTAGTGCAAGGAAGAAGAAAAACTTACCTACCATACGCGTATACAAACGCACTCTTTACATGCCTTCTCATCATGTAAACCCGTTTCACGTGTTGGACCATGCCTACAATGGTAGAATTAGGTTGAATGATGCAACTATTCTTAAAATGTAACTAATTAAATGTATCTAAAATCAAGTTACGTATTATATCTAAGTTATATTTGCCATGTGAATATAGTTAAACAAGTTTCATAAGGTTTTTAACGTGACGTTTGATGTGAGAAAGATAAACAAGTAATCCATTGGAGCTCTCCAAGTCCAAAGCAAAAGCTGCATAACTAAACCTGCAGAGA